AGGTGGCTGCTCTGAGCTCAGGTAGCCTGTCCGGCAGGCAGCCTGCCAAAGGTACTGCCTCTTCTGCCTCTGTGTGTAAAGCGGTAGTCCTTACAAACACTGCTTCAGCAGACTGTCAGAAGCTCTGGTGTTTAGTATTTCAGCCTGAAGTTAAGAAGTTAGTGTTAGTAAGAGGGACTAAAAGCAAAAACACAAAAAGGCTAATCAACATACAGTAACTTGAGTCACATGAAGAGTATTACTTCTTTGCCAAAAGCAAATAGTATATGTATTTTAATAATCTTACTACACAATTTAAAAGGAAGAAGGCGTCAAGAGGGTTAGTAACTCCTTTCACTAAATGCACGCAGGGCTGTGAGCAGCCCATTGCTTTTAGGGATTTCAAGGTCAGATTCATTGGCTTCCCACCAGACCTTACAAATCTTAATGGGATTATCTGTGTCAAATGTGACATACTGTCATGCTATCCTGCTGTTGCTCCACACTCTGCTTCCTTCCCTTCTTCCCTCCCTCCCTCCCTCCCTTTCTGTGGTTTTGGTTTGCTAGATCTGAAATTCAGGATTGTTTTTTTTCTTTTGCTCTTTTTTTTTCCCCTGGAGTGTTTAGAAGTGCTTGCTCAAGTAAGTACTACTAACGCTATTCTCACTTACTACATAGCCAAATACAGGCCAACATTGTGAACAAATTTCTTTTTACTGTCACACGTTGGCAGTGTAGCATGAGATAGCTGACACTGAGGATGTTTCTCCCTTTTGCTTTAGGTTTTTGGTATTCTTTTTCTCAACAACAACGTTATCTAGAAGCAAATCAAGGGAGTTACTTAAGGCACCGTAAAATTAGGCAGGGTAATAAAAAGGCTATTATTTCTACTAATGTTTTCCTCCAAATTTTAAAACTGTGGAAAAAAAATCCCATATTTTAGATAGGGAAACAGTGCCAGAAGAAATTGACTTGTCATTTGATAAAGCTTATGATTAGGGTAATAAATTAAATGGTTTGGGATTTTTGCAAAGTGGAATCAGCTTTTGATTGCTCAGAAATTGACTAGAGTTACCGTCTGTCAATAGCTGATGGTTCATTTCATTCAAGTGATATACTTGATTATATACTCAAAATATACTGGCCAGTCGTGAGTCTGTGCTACAGACAGGGTGAGTGGATGGACTGTCAATGGCTCACTGGGGTTATAATGCACTGTATTAAAAAGTTTATGTAGCTTTTACTGTAAGCCAAAGTAACAAGAGTGTAAGGTTTTTGTTTCTGTCTTTTTAATAGTGAAATAGGAGTTCCTTCTGCAATAAAGCCAGTAACACTTTTCGTCACAAGGTGGTAGCAGATATGCAAGTATTACCAGCACTTTGATGTAGTGCAGGTTGTCTCAGACATTTTCAGCAGAGATTGAAGTGTGAAATATGAAATTAATGTGCTAAAGAATTAACAGATGCACATTGTTATTTTATAAGTAAACACACATATATTTACCCTTCTGCAGCATTTTGCAGAGCCAGTATGCTATGTTTATATCCTTTTTTTTTTTTTTAAAGTACTGTGGAAGGAAATGTACAATGCAGTGGTAATATATAAATATGCCTGGTCTTTTCATTATAAGTAGTTTGATCAAGTGATATGTAGAACTCAGCCTCTTCTAACCACGCTACCATATTATTCAAGCAGATTGGATAAAAAATCCTCCCCAAAGTGGGTTGATTAAAGCATTTTTTCCCTTAGAAAACGAAAATATTTTGTTTTCCATAGGAAGGGATTGAAAATCTTAAGTTTATATATAAGGTGAAGAAAAACAAACTGTTGGGAAAAAAAAAAGGTAAGGAAACCCAAATTTAAGTGCTCAACCCTAGGTATTCACTAGCAGATTCTATTGCACTCTGTTAAAAAGTACTGGGATATGTCTTTTTGTGCTTGCTGTTGAGAAGCTTTAAAGGGATGGAGATTTGTTTTACAAATTCCCAATACAAGAAATGTTTCATTTTTTGTTTAATGAATCTTGTTTAATGAATGCTACTAGTTGTTTAATGAGTCTCACTAATGAGTGGATAGTTAGATATTTTTTCATTTGTAGTTTCTGCCTTAAGAAAATGAAGTGCCTTTCATTGTAAGATCCATATTTTAAAGTATCTTTGAACAATGGAATACCAATTTCTGATGTCCTTGTATTGAGCAAGCCATGTCCTACACCCTTTTTTCTTAGCTTTTCATAAATTAAATGTTCTGTGTTTGTGGGGTATATTCCATTGTGAAGTGGATTTCATTTAGGAGTACTGGAGTTGTCTGCAGCTATCTAAACATTTCAAGCTGTTGCTTGTGAAATAATTCACAACTCTCAGTTTAAACAGGCAGTTCCATGGGGGAAAGTTATTAGGAACTTTCTTGTCTTTAATGATCAATTAAAAGAATACAAGATGCAAATATAAATAGTTTATAAATGTCTTAGTGTGATGAAGTATGTCAGTGTACATACTCGGATGTCCTGATCAGAAGTCACACATCAGGAGAACTGAACGCAGTCTGAAATTATTCTGCTATTCTTTTCCATAGCATGCACATCAGTCTATGGCCATCTGATCTCTCAGGGTCCTGCTGGAGTTGGTGAAGGGCACATTTTTCTGTGTGCATCACCAAATCTGATCCCCAGGCAGAGATCTCCAAATGCACAACCAGGAATTGTTACTTCATGCTGCTTTCAAGAACATCTGAGTTGTTTACTGCGCCTTGCAGACCTGTTGTTGTGTTACTGTTAGGTTTTCCAGTTACTTCTCATCCTTCTTTGGTTTGTTACATAGAGGAATGGTACCAGAGCTGGACTGCAGAGAGCAGTGGGAGATGTGGAGGTGAATGTCTTGTGCTTGGTTCACCCATTGCTCACTTCTCCTGTAGAGAAAAATCTTTCCTCCATGCTCTCCCCAAGGGGAGGACAGACTACTTGATGAATGGACAGATCTTTGGCTTAAGGCATCCCACCTTCTGGTAGATACAGCTGCTTTGTCTACAGTTAGAAGTTAAGCATGGTTTGGCTTGAACTGCCTCCACTGAAACACCAGCAACAGTAGCTTCCCACAGCTTGGGTCCAGCCAACAATTACTGTCTCATCCTATCCCTGGACAAGATCAACATATCTGAGAAAAACATATTCAACAGTGACCCCTTCCATGTTTCTGGAGGGTCAAAACTTTGGCAGAGGCAAAAATCCTTAGATTTTTGGCCCTTTGATTTTCTTCATCCTTTTTCTACCCCGTGTTCCCCACTTCACTCAGTTGTCTGTGACCCCACGCATGTGAGCAGAGCTGAGATTCTCTAAGGGACACAAATAGCAGCTATCTCGGGGCAAAAGGAAGAATTAATAGACACATTCTGTGTCTCTGTTAGGGAAGAAAAAAGCTGTCAGAAAAGAATGAACAAGCAAGTGAATGATGCAGCACCTCAGCAGACCCTCAGCCAAGGCAGAGATAGAAGCTGCACACAGGTAGAAGCTAGTGACATATATACTTAATTTCTCTGCTTTGCAAAGGTCTTACTGCAGTTTTGCTGTGGGGCCAGCGACTACTTATTGCTGGCTGTCTCCAAATGTCTTGTTGGCTGCTGCACATGCACAGACTGCTTTGGGCAGTCTTTTCAGAGCTTTGAGACTAGTATAAAAATAGACTGAGCCTGGAAGTCTGGATTATCATCATTGCTATGGACACTTCCAAGCTGTCATTTTATCTGCCCTGAATATTTTCCTTATTTTCGTGGTTGTGCTCAAAAGCTGGCTCAAATTCCCAGTGCAACTGTAGTGAACGTAGAAAGTTGGTCTCATATTCATTCTAATACACACTTCACTAAAATCCTTCACCATCCTAGCCCTTGCTGTCATCAGTACTTGATTTTGAGTGCTTCCATTATGTTTGTATCTGCTGTAATTTTACTTTTTTTATAGTATCAGCTTTCATTAGTTATGATGTATTTGGAAATCTGTAATAATAATAGTTCTGTCAAGATATCTTTTGAAATAATTTTTTAAACTGCCTGTAGATTGTTTTGGGGTATGTCTCATGTACTTTTCGTGTTTAGACAATGGATGCTACTTTATCAAACCTTGTGAAAGGATATTGGGATGGACGATCTCTAGAAGTCTGATGTACATTATTTTATAATTTTATTTTTCCAGTGATACAAACTGGGAATAAGTGGCTAGGAAACAGCACTGCTAAGTACAACCTGGATGTCCTGACTGAACGTAAGCCATCAGTGTGCCCTGGCAGTAAATAATGCCAAAAGTCTTCTGGGCTGTATTAACAGTGTACCAGGGAGAATAAGGAATTCAACATTCAATAAGCAACTTCTGTGTCTAGCTTTGGGTGCCTCAGATGCAAGGAAGACAATGATAAACTAGAAGTACTGCAGTGGAGAGCAGGGAGTTGTAGCATTTGTCCCTGGTGCAAGACTGAGAGAAATAGACTTGTTTGGCTTAGAGAAGATATCTCATAGCAGCCTATCAACACCTAGGAGGAAATTATCAAAAGAGATGAATCCAGGCTCCTTTGGTGTATTGGTAGGAAGATAAGATGCAGTAGGCAAAAATTTAAACTAGAGGTTTGGATGGATGTAAGAAGAAAGTTTTTCCCCATAGGGGCAAACAAGCAATGAAGTAGGTTGTCAGAGTAGTTGTAAGTTTATTGTCTGAGATTTTTCAGAAGCCAGCAGGATAAAACCCTGACGTGGCCTCCTAGTGGACCTTGGATGGAATGAGCTTCTAAGGTCCCTTCCAACCTGAATTATTCTGATTCCATGATTCTGTATTTTAAAATGAGGAAAAAAAATCAACTGTTTAGTTGTGTACACTAAACAATATTGCATTAGCCTAAAAGTTAAATTGATGTTTTGCATGTTATTTTTCTTTTTTAGAGTCTTAGTCTCTTAACTTCATCTCTTTCATCTACTTTCTGTCAGGGATTTTTTTTCAGTGCAGAATAGCTTCAGGCTTCAACTTCTCTTCCTCCGCTATTCCCAAACCTTACAGACAGTCTGAAATGCAAATATATTTTTGTTCTCTACCTACCAACATGACTGCCTATTAAATTATTCTGCTAATCCCACAAAAGATCTCCTCAGGATTTTTTCTAAGCTCCACTGTGTTCTGGAAAAATAACCAGATTTTACTTCTTTTGGGTCTTTGTTCAGAGCAGAAGAGGCCAAACGTAATTGCAAGCAAAAAAGAAACAGCAGCCCTGCCAATATTAGATCCTGCTCTTAATTATGCACTTCATATTCACTGTGACTTCCTCTGAAGCTTTCTTCTTACAGAATTGCTGCATTGATTTTTTTAAATTTTTTTTAATTTTTTTTTTTTCAGCTCAGAAGTACCACATTATGGCATTCAACAGGATAGGTTGAAAATTAAATACTTTTACATTTCTTTGATGTATGACTATAGTGTATGTAGCACAATTCATTGCATTCAAGTTACAATACGGCTATTGTCATAAAAGGGCAAGAAGGCATAGAGATATTTTGTATGTGTAGGGCAACCACTGTGATTTTGTCTGGATTTCTGGAACTTAATGTTAGCATTGTATTTTCTAAGGTCATGAGTGTATGGCACATCCTGGACTCTTTTGCCTCTTGTTCTTAACATGCAGGAAAGTGTGTGCTACATGGAGGAGGGAGCAGAAGGAACAGGATCTTCAACCGAGAGAGACGTTTTGTCAGACAATAATATGTTTTGAGGGGATCTCATCCTCTTCATCTAAGAAACTGAGCACTCTGTATAAAATCTACTTCAAAGCTTGTGCTTCTTCATGGTCACCGTCTTTCTTTAAAGAATCAGGAGAAGAGAGTGGAAAAACTGGGTAGTATTCAGCAACAGAGAAGACAGAGCTAGAAAGCTGGTATCTCCACCTTTTGATCTGGAGCTATGCGTGGTTATAACTTCCTGGTGTTTGTCTATTGCCCGTCCTTAGCAGTTTATAATTCTGATGGTGATTTTGGGCCAAATGGCTCAGGCCAACTGTTCAAATTAGTTAAGGTTTGATCTCAGGATATAGAAATCAATTTTCACACACTATAAGTACTTATTGCCATATATGAAAGTGTCTATAATGGCAGAACTATAAATATTTGTATGTTTAACATGCATCAATTTTGTGTTAGTACCTATTGGCCTGTTCTTACTATCTGTGTGCTAAAAGCATATAAACTGAGAGTAATCATGTATTGCAATTTTCTGGCACATGTGTGGGAGCTCCAATGCATTTTGTATCAGGAGGGCTGAGCAGAGGTTAGTTAGTCCCCCTTGAATTTTTTTTTGCAACTTGAGGTTTTACAGATTCATAGGTCATTTCACAATGCTATTCCTCTGCAGCGAAAGAGATATGTTCCTAGACTTAACTGATCTTTTCAACATTGGCTGGAGGAGTTGCTGTGGTAATGATGTTTTGACTTGTTCACTATTCACAAGCAATGTAACATTATATGTATATTAATCCAAGGTTGTCTTCCATAATAACACACCAATTCTGTGCTTGAAAGTCCAATGTGGGGAAGATAGTGGCAGAGATTTTAGACGCTGTTCTGAACATAAGTTTTGTAAGACATTTATGTGTCAGAAATTTCAGTGAAATTGTTAAGAGTTTGATCTAGGAGAGTAAACCAGCTGAGCTGATACGTACATTCCTATCAGATGTCCTGCACAGAGTTCCTACAGCAGAGTAAAGGAAAATTGCACGTTAATCTTTGTGTCTGTGGCACGGACAGAAATTTAAGCTTCCTCATCCGTGTACAAGGAAGCAATTTTTGGATGTAAGCTTTAAGGCACTAGAAAAGGAATTATATAATGAGTCAATTCAGGGAAAAAAAAATGTTTAGCAGGCTACACGCATGCCTACAAAACCTTTGAGAAAGGTCGAATTGCACAGGCACTTCCAAGTCACTGCTAACTGCATAAATCATATTGCACAGAACATTTTTTTTTTTTTGCTAAGACTATATTTTAGAGCTGCAGATCAAACAGCTGCAGGCCTAATGGCAGAATTTTCATTTCCGGGTACAGTTTTTAGAGTTGTGGGCTCGCATGATATTTTGAAAAAGAAACACAGAGGAATGGATCTAGTCTTAAAATTGTCACTTGCAGCGAAACATTGTCACAGGTGTAGTTGTAGGGCGCACTGAAGTGGTGAATTTTGAAAGAGGTAGCCCATTTCAAATTTAGGGCTGTATCTTTTAGGCAGAAGACTTCTAGGACTAGAGGCTATGGTGCAGTTGCATCTTTTTGAAAATAAAGTCTGGCTTTATCAAACTGCAGCCTACTGTCTCTATTTTGGGGCTCCCCAGTGACAAGGAAGATACTAGCTTACTGGACCAAGTCAATGGATGATTTCTGCTATGATTAGGAATCTGAAGCCCAAGACATACAAGGAGAAGTTGAGACGTCTAACTTTGTTCAGAGGTAAGAGAGAAAATGAAGATAATATTGCACTGTTGTTAACTTAGTTTATCAGATGTGATTTCTCCTTTGAAAACCTATGCTGACAACTGCCAATCACCTTCTTGTCTTTCATATTGATGGAAATATTTTCAGGATTATTTACACTATTACCTTCCCACAGATTGAAGCAAGGCTATGTAACCTGAAACCCTTCTTGAAGACAGGAATGACACCTTATTTTTATTTTTATTTTATTTTATTTTTTATTTTTTTCAGTTTTAGGAACCTTCTCTGACTGCATTTCAAAGATAATTTTTGGTTTTGCAAGCAAAAGTTGACTACCATGAGTAGTACTGAAGCCAGAGATTATGTATATATCTATACCTTACTAAATCTTTCCGTGACCAAATAATCAGCTCTTGTTCTGTTGAAACACAGGATTTCAGGAAGAAATGTGTATCTGCTCAGGAATCATATCCCACTCCTCTGTCCTGGAAAAGTATTTCACAGCTGGAGATCCACTGCTCTGCTCACTTCTCTCATTTTCACTTCGAGTGTCCAGTCCTTTCATTTCCTGTTTATATCATAACCAGTACTGCCAGAAAGTAAAGTAGTATCAATTTGGTTTTTTTTTTGTTTATTGTTTTTTTTTTTTAAATCTCCCATGCAGTGCCTTTTGATTGCATCCTGGAAAATGAAAAGTGGAAAAGAAAAAAATTCAGCAGAGCAAGGACAATGACAAAATGTAGTAACAACTGGAGCACCACCAAAAATCTATTCCTGAGTCTGTATTATCAATTCAAGGATAATACTTATCCGTGTGCTTGACCTCACCACCCCCTGCAGTATCTGCAAGAACACCTGTAACGTTTATAGTTTGCAGTCTTCATTGCAGCATCCTTTCATGCTGTTTTCCCTGGAGTGAAATTAAATTTTACATTATTCAATAGCACTGTCTCTGTATTGTGTCAGAATAGACTTTACTAGTGCTTTAGCACACGGTAATTCTAGGGTAGGGAGAGAAACTTATTCATGGTTGTCCAAATGAGAACAAGCAAAATATATGATCCTGTGAAAATATCTAGTCTGTCTTCCTTTCCCCCTTTCCTTTGAGTCAAGCTGATGCAGCTATATCAACACATTTGGTCATGTGGATGCTCATTAGCTGTTGCTAGGGGAAAGATGCAGACCTGGCTTTCATCACTAGCAGTAGATGAGCTACCTTCCATGAGTTCCATCCAGAGGTTTTGAATTTCTCCCTCTGGTCCCTTCCAGGCCCCAGGTGCTGCAGGTTGAATACTGCAGTAGCCTTGTTTTCATTCTCCCTGACAAAAATCTTTGACTTCCTGTGACAGGGATGGATTTGCCTGGCTTTACCAGAGGCTTCGTTTCTGTTCCTGTTTTTCAAATATGTTGCCTTCAGTGTTGTTTTTTTCTGGTGTTGTTTTTGTTTTTGTTTTTTTTCTTTTTTTTTTTTCCTCTCTTGATGCAGCATTGATTCTGTAAGATGGGACTTTGCAGAGATTAGCTTCCATGTGACCTTGGCAGACTTTTTTCAGGTTATTCAACCCCCTACCTAAACTTTTAATCCTATGCCTGGCTGAGCTCGCCAAAGCATTAATCTCTGATGGGACTGAGGTGGTAACCCTTAGGTAGCTGGTTTTGATTTGGTTCTCCTGAATTGAAGGTATGAAGGTTACTATAAAAACACTTGCATTAGTGAGGCTGATATGGTGTTGAAGCTGTAAAAAGTACAAGTTTGTATTTTGTAAAGACTCAGAAGTTGATCTGTACTGGAAACCATAGGCTAGAAAATAGAGATCCCTTAAGGTGGGCTGAGGAAGAAGGTCTAATGAAGGATGGTAGTTAAAGAAATATATGGGAACTTTCTTCTACGGAAACATTCAGAGCCATATTTATTTTAGTTTGTTTCTGTTTAAATCAAGGGAATCGAATACTTGTCTGTGTAACTGATAGCTTACTTGATTTGAAGTGTACCATATTCAGGAAGAATCAGAGTACTGCATTCTATCTGTTAACCACTAATTATTGCTTTTTTTTCTACAGATATCAGGTGTATTTTTAGGACTTATGTGCTTGGGTTTTTTGTTTGTTGGTTGGTTTTTAGTGCTGTTATCAAGCTGAGGTTGTGATAGAGAAGCAGTTCTTTCATGCACTTTTATTAAACAGATAAAAAATTAGAATGTGCTCATCAGTTTCCAGTTGCAGATTCCCAGGGAAACATACATGAACAGGAAAAACAGATAGTTATATTTGCCTAGTGATACTTGCATAGCGAATTCTCTCAGCAATCTTGCAGCTCTTTGCTTTTGCATGTTGAGGGCTGGAAGAAATTTGCTGACTGAGATTTGAACTAACGTTGCTGAAGGCTCAGTGCGTACCATTAACCAGTTCCCTGGAGAATTCCAGAAACAAGATTAAAGAGTGTTGTCAGCAAATTACATATGCAATAAAAATGGGGCAGTACAGCTAATTGTGAGGCTATGCATACATACTTTAGTTCGTGGTAGAAGGTAAGGAAATTAAATGAACATTCAACAGTCTTCTGTTGAGTAACAACAGTAGGTGGCACTCTTTGTTCTTCTTCAGTATATTCCTTTTTTTTTTTTTTTTCTTTTTTTTTTTTTTTCAGGAACGAACAGGTTTTACGATGAAGGAAGTTTTGTGCTAAAGATCCACATGGTAATAAAAAAGGGCCAGCGTACCTTTTAAGTTTATGGAACAGTTACTTATGCTTCCTGCAGGTGTTAATAATTGGCCTTTTAGTCCCTACTGCTAAATATATTCTGTGGGTACAAAGACCCTGCAGACTTCTGTAGGACCCCAATTGTATATTAAAAAAGAAGAAAATTTTAGCACCAAGACTTGTAGAATCATGTTGGGAATCTCTGTGGAAATGCTGAACACTGTTACTGTTTTGTTTTTGTTTTTTTCATAAGTGCTATAACCCTGCACCTCTTTTGGTAATTCTGCCAGGTGTGCAGTATATTGCTCTCCCAGTATGCTGTGAATGAAAACCATCGTAAGTCTCAGTTAAGATACACTGTGTTCTACAGCTGTTTTGCTGCTGTTAAGAAAGAGAAGTCAGCTTCAGGTTGTAAAAAAACTGATAGACAAGCAGGCAGCAGCGAGAGTGGTTCTGATGTTCCTGTCATGCCATACACACAGTACCTGAACACTCACTATGTTTAAGCAGTAGTGCCCCATGAGGTGTTTTTATTAAGCAGAATTTTTTTGTGTGTGTACTCAATCGTTGCTGCCTTCTAACAACATTTATGACTCTCATAGAAAGCTAATTTGAGATCCCTGGTAACAAGGAAATTATTTAAGGATGCTGATGATTTGGGGACTCTGCTATGTTACATGTTGCAACTGTAATTGCTGACTCCAGAGCCCTGGCCAGCTGCTCAGAAATGGATAATTTCGGTGATGATGTGAAGAATTGCAGTGTCCTGACAAAATTCAGTTACTCAGAGAAGGAAAAATCAGAATTTCTTTTGGAGAAGATTGGTTGTGTTACTAGGTAAGTAGAAGAGCACAAGTATTTGGCTAAAACAGGTCTAGGCCATCTCTAAAGTGGATTACTATTTACTCTAAAGCAGGTTACTATGAGCAGATGCTGTTGGGCCTCCATTCATGAAAGTCTGAGCTCCTTGTAGTCTCTAGACAGTCATGAGAGAGAAACTGCCCTAAAAAAAAAAACAACAAAGATTATTTTACAATGTTCTGAGAATGAAGATTTTGGTAGAGAATGGGTTACCATGCTGTGCACGGTGGAAAATATGAATTAGGGTTTAGTGTGTGAAGGGACATGTGCTTCTCTGGCTTACTGAGATAGCTTTGAAGGTTATGGAAAATCCGGCATGAAACCAATCTTGCTGCATTCATATATATATTGTCAGTAGGATTAGTACTGAAGTGCAATCTGACCTTTCTGTATGCCTGTTTCTGTATTTGGGAAATTTATTGATATGCAGTAAAGTTCAGTCTGAGTATATGCCAAAATGTAGGTAATATGCAATCAGGGAAAGAGGGACTAAAACTTGAGTGCAAAGTTATTAATATGATGGATGGATTCCAGTGAGAATCTGTATGAGACATGGAGGAAAAAAATATGATTTAAAAAAGAAAAACATCTGAAACATGTATAATATATGTATATTTTTTCTGTTATAATTAAACATTAGCTTTTAATACTGCAGAACAAAGTGTTTGATTTCCAGGGTCAGTCTCCCTGAAAACACTGCTGTTAATAACTCTTAGTTTGAAGAGTCCTCTGTCATGAACAGTGAAGATCTTCATTAGTTACAGGGACTGAAGACAAAGAAGGTGCCTGGTTGCAGATATAGCAAAGTGGACATCTTCAGGAGCTCTAATTAAAGCTTCTATGAAAGAGATTTAAAAAAAAAAAAAAAAAGAAGAGAGAGAGAGAGAGAAATACAATGGAGTACACCTGAGTGCTATTCATGGAACAATTACATAATGAAAGAACAATAGGATTTTCAGCTTTTCACATTTTCTTGAGACATTATGAAGAATCTGGCAGTGATCAGAACAGTAAATTGAGAAAAATGGTAAGATAAAATGCAGTTATAATGGCAGTAGCAGTGAGCTAATCTCAGTGGTAACTTGTGTGTTGCTATTACTAGATTCACAGTGTGATTATTAATGGCAAATGCAAAGCTGAAACAATGATATTTCCTAAATATGTCGTACTCTATCTGAAACTGTAGTAATTAAAATGTTTATAAATGAATGGAGTTAAGTTATTCTTATTTCATTTGCTGCATGTATGACACTTGAAACTGAAATAACATTTGGGAAAGCATTATTTAACTGTCAAAAGAAAATGTTAGAAATGAGAACTTAAATTGCGAAGTCAGAAAATAGGAACTATTGGCTTCGTGTATTGATTCTTTCAAAAATGTGTGTGTGCATGAAAATCTGTGCACTTGGTATTCTCTCCTAACAAATAAGTTTGAGGAAAAAAGATGGTAAGTACATATTTTTTTTCCTGCAGCGTTGTTCAGGAAATAAGAATTCTTAATTTAGGCTTTATTAATAAAAGAGTTGACTATAGATGCTGAAGTGGGCAGGAGTCTTGGAAGCCTTGAAGGAAGCCCAATTTTATGGAATATATGCACAAGAGCTCTTGTTTTCGCAGAAAAAAAATGTCAATAATTATTTTGCTCCTTATAAATAATGTTGATTTTTTTTTTTTAATGAGAATTCCTACTGCCTGCTTTTATCCTTTCATTCTACTTAATGATCAAGTGTCGTTTTTGATATTTTTTTTAAAGAAACTGTTGCAAACTAGATCAATCCACATGAGTCTGCCCTTGCTAGTCATGAAATACTCCTTTTGCTTTTCCTGCTTTACTAAATTGCCTGTGTTTTTTTCCCTGGACATTAGAAGAATATCTTCTTATGCAGAAAAGAAGTTTAGCTTCTGTTTTTGTTGCAACAGGTTTGGATATCCACAAATTTTGTTTCATAGAACAGTGCCCAGAGAAAACATAACAGAATGAGAGTGTATGAGAAGGGGTGGGAACCAACAAATGTTTTTTGGACACCATCAAGATAAAGTCAATATTACTGTTGTGTTCAGGAGAAATTACAAATTACTGCATATTTTGTAGTGTCTAACAGTACAATCCAAACATGCATGAGACATTGTAATCTTTAGTATTTCAGTTTGCACATACCCACATATTCTTTCCTTGACAGTATGAGAGGGTTGCTACTGAATTCTGCTGTTTCTGCTAGTTTACCTGTATAGCAAGCTCTGTACTGTCAAGTTAAAAACAGAAAGCTAAAAACAAGAAAAAAACAACAACACAAAACAACAACAGAAAAAACACCACAGAATAGGAAGTTAGCACAATGCTGCTTTCCAGACGTTTAGTAGTTTTTCTTGTTTTGTTTTTAATTCATTTTCACTCTGATTGCACTGGTTGCATCACTGAG